AGATATTTCAAAGCCACCTGAGATCAGCTCCCTTAACTTTCATCTTTTTGATCTCCAGTTCTCCCTATTTACTCTTGTCTCTGCTTCTATTCCGTTTCAAACAACTTGGAAAGGTCTTCTCTTTTCCAATGCTCATCCACCTGTTTCTGCCCTTAGTCATTTACCTTCCCATTCTTGTGAGACCCTGATTTGTCAATACATCCTTTCTTTTTTTTTTTTTTTTTGTAACTTAAGTTTGGTAGCTTCTTACCATATGAAAACGCTCAGATCTATCTGATCTTTTAGAGTAGAATTTCTCAATGATTGACTATTGATATTGTGGGCACCATCAGTGTTTTATGCTGGATATTTCTTTGTTGTAGGGGGCAGTCCTGTGTATTGCAAGATGTTTAGCAGCAGCTCTGGCCGTTACTCACCAGATGCTGGTAGCACTCTGGAGTGTTGCCAGACATTGCCAAATATCTCTTAAGGGGCAGAATTCTTGCGACCAAGCCATTCCATCCATCGCTCTTCTTTTCTTTTCATTCCCATCATCACCAAGTTTCCCTGTGGACCACTCACTTCTTATCTCCACTTCCTCACCATTCAGTCAGATCTGAATCAGGCTTCTGACACTACCCATTACCGAAAATGCTCTCAGAGGACTGAAATGACCTCCTGGCAGCCAAATCCAGTGACTGGTCTTTTCTCAATGCCTTAGTTTTCTACAACTTTTGACACTGTGGTCTCATTTTATGGTATCCATCTTATGTATTCTTTTGGCTTTCCTCCTAGCTCCCTGTCTCCTTTAGATCTTTCTCCTAGACTTTCTAAATATAGGCACTCCCCTCTGTGTAGGCCTCTGCTGTCCTCTTTTTTCATGTTTCTCATCCCTTCTCATGTCTCTTCTGGTCACTGCTATGCAGATGACTTCTAAATATAGATTCCGTTTCTCAGCTGCACTCTAGGCTTACATGTCCTTTCGCCTCTTGGGTACATCAACCTGATCTTCTACTTGACACATTAACTCAGTATGTTTCAACAGTTCGGAAACAAACTCCTCACCGTCCCTCCTTTCATTGATTCCCATTAACGGGACCACAGACCTTTTTATCAGCGGTTCCCCAAACATTTTTGGTTGTACACCACATCGCTAAAAAGTTTTTGTGCATGTTACATCCAAAGTATGATATTTATTAATAAATTTTATACATGTGCCATAGTGTTAAGTTTTAAAACATGAAATAGAAATTTTACAAAGGTTAGGGAATATGAGGTTAATCCTTAAAATTTTACAGTAAAACCTTTCTGTTCTTGGGCGCCTGGGTGGCTCAGTCGGTTGAGCGACTGCCTTCGGCTCAGGTCATGATCCCAGGGTCCTGGGATCGAGTCCCACATCGGGCTCCCTGCTCTGCGGGGAGCCTGCTTCTCCCTCTCCCACTCCCCCTGCTTGTGTTCCCTCTCTCACTGTGTCTCTCTCTGTCAAATAAATAAATAAAATCTTAAAAAAAAAAAAAAAAAAACCTTTCTGTTCTTTAAAATGTTAGTAATTTAATATACTTCATTTTTTAAAAAAAATCCAGATTTAATACTTTGTCTTACAGAAATCTAAGTACAGTTTATTTTGATTCTTGATTTTAATGTTGCCTTAGTTGAAAAAGATACCCCGCAAACATGTGTGGATTCAAATAGAAGAAGTATATTATTGGCTATACTTATGAAATTTTAATTCTTAACTGGAATGGTGGTTGTTAGGGGTTTAGGAGAAAAGGGAATGGGGGTTATTATTTTATGGGTGCAGAGTTTCAATTTTCAACATGAAAAGAGTCTGGAGGTGGATGGTGGTAATGGTTGCCCAACATGTAAATGTACCTAACACTACTGTACCATACAGCCCAAAATGATTTAGATGGCAGGGCACCTGGGTGGCTCAGTCAGTTAAGCATCTGACTCTTGATTTTGGCTCAGGTCATGATCTCAGGTTCATGAGATTGAGCCCGGCATAGGACTATGTGCTCAGCGGGGCGTCTGCTTCTCTCTCTCTCTCTCTCTCTCTCCCCCTCTCCCCCCACCCCCTCGCTCTCTCTCTGTCTAAAATAAATAAATAAATCTTAAAAAAATGATTTAGATGGCAAATTGTATGTTATGTGTCTTTAACCACAATTAAAAATAATAATTTAAAAAGTGCTTAGCAGAGAACCAGTCATGTAATAATTACTTATTAAAAGTTGATGTTAATATTTGTTATTATTATTTCTATACCACTGTCATTAATAATTGTCTCCATGGTCCCATTCATACTTCTCAGTGTCTTAATTTTGGTTCAGTAATTGATTACCATACTCATTGGGTCTCACACAGTTCCTAATACAACATAGTAGGTACTCAAGAAACAGTTATTGAATAAATGATGTGACAACAGTGGATTACAATCACTTTTTGCTTTTCTTCACATTAGGGATTTAGTTCTATGAAAATGGGCATGGCTTAAGAGTAAGTACTTAATTCTTTTCTATTCAATGCCTTAAATGTACTATGGCATTCTGCATGGATGGTTATTCAGTGTAGAAATTTATATTTAAGGCAGTTAAACACGTATTGCACAGATACACGTTTTACTCTAGAAATTATGTTGCCACATATTGTGTATTAGCCATTTAAAAAGTTTTATTATTATGAGCTCTAAAAAGGTGTTAGCATGATTGCTTGGACAAAAGGTGGATTTAAGATGATTTTTTTTTTTTAAGATTTTATTTATTTATTTGACAGAGAGACACAGCGAGAGAGGGAACACAAGCAGGGGGAGTGGGAGAGGGAGAAGCAGGCTTCCTGTGGAGCAGGCAAGCCTGGGATCCTGGGATCCTGGGATCATGACCTGAGCCGAAGGCAGACGCTTAATGACTGAGCCACCCAGGCGCCCCGGTTTAAGATGATTTTAAAGTTTATCTTCTGAAAGTGTGACTGAGAAGCTATGTTTTTAAGTGGGTTAGATATGGGAAGTGTGCACTCAGAGAAAGAAAAGGGAATGCTCAGTCTCAGTCTTTCAGGGCTAAAACTCTGCTTTTTACTCCCCTGCTTCACCAATACTGTTTGACTCTTCTAATCTCATTTCACAAAATAGCCACCTTCTCCTTTTTCTTCATTGGCTACCAGTAACCTTTTTGAGCGGTTGTCTAGCTCAGCAGCCTACTTTCCAGTAAAATGTAATCACAATTCCCATATCGCTCTTGGCTTCACTGTCTGCTCCTCCTAATTCCCCCCTTTCTGCGTGAATCAGCAGATGTGGATGACGTCATCTTTTATTTGGCTGTCTCGCCGTTGTTAAATGTCGCCCTGCCAGAAGTCAAGCGTGGTGAGCCTGCTTCTGCAGTTTTTGCTCTTATGAAATTGGTGGAAATTTTGAATGAACAAAGAATTTTGATTCATAGCAATTTGGTTAAAAAACAAAAAATCAACCCAGGGATCAGATACGGGTTAGAAGTCCCTTACAACCTGAAACCATGAATCAGTGGTTGATACAATAAGTGATTTCATACCATTTTGTCGTGCTTTTCAAAATACTGCCAGTTGGCCAAAATGTGAGTAGGATATTGATGCCTTAAGTTTTTATCAAAGAAATAGTAGATGAGCTTACTTAATCATCTAAGTCTTATCTTAAATATTAAAAAATGATAATTTTAAGATTTTTTTTTACTTTGGAACGATATACATACTACAGGAACCACAGAAAACATTAAAAAATGTAGTCATTTTTTTAAAGATTTTATATATTTATTTGAGATAGCATGGGAGGGGGAGCAAAGGGAGAGGGCGAAGCAGGCTCACTGCTGAGCAAGGAGCCGGATGATGTGGGGCTCAATGCCAGGACGCTGGATCATGATCTGAGTGGAAGGCAGATGCTTAACCGATTGAGCCATCCAGGTGCCCCAGCTTGTATTTTCTTATATAAAATTTATTTATATAAGAATATTGTTAAAATTATATATTTCATGTACTTTATTAATACAGTCATATATGTGTATACTTCATAAGATATATAAAATTGATAGCATATATAAAAGTTCATAAAATCTTCAATGCTCTGTACCTGGTTTATTCCAAAGACTTCTCTCCTTCCTCAGAATGTAAATTGCTGTAATTGAGAATGAGCACTGTTCACGGTTCTTAGGAATGACCTGTCTTGCCCTTCTTGATCTGCTCCTTGGCCTGGGAGTGGACTGTATCCAGAAGTGAGTAAGAGGGTGGGGATGCCAAAGAAGGCTGGACAACCTTTACCCGGTTGAGCTACTAGTCTAGGTTGTTAATAGTGGCATGGCGCACGTCTTACATTTCTGTGTCATTGAATCCCACCACTTATTTGGCTTTTCCATCTGGAGGTCTCAAAGACATCTTTAACTTCCTAACATTGTGATTGGAACCAATCTTTTCATCCCCTGGGTAGCAGCTAAGCCTGTGCCTCATGCTGTGTTCCTCTCTTCAGTCAGTTGCTCCAGCCAGAAACCTGGGATGGATCGCCTTGGGCGCCTCATTCCCTCCTGCACTCCCCACCCAGATTGAACAGTCCTGTCCATTCATCTCTAGAATATATCCCAAATTCATCCTCTTCCACTCCCATCTTAGAAAACAAAACAAAACCCAGATCTTTCATTTGACCCCAAATTATCTGGCTCTGGCCTACAACTGCCACTTCATTTCATGCCTTCCTCTCCTTCCCACTCTCCACTTAAATGCGGCCAGTCATTTTCCAGTCCTTGGTATGTCTAGCTCTTTCTTGCCTCAGACCCTTTGCGTATGCTGTTCCCTCCGTCTGGAGTGTCCTCTCCTTCTTTGGCTTCAGTGTTAGCTTCAATGCTAGTTTCTCTGAGAAGCCTTTTCCTCCTTTCAAGTTAAGTCTCCCTCCTATTTTTTTTTATTATGGTAGTAGGTCTTTTTACTTTGAGCATAATCATATACTTAGCTGCTCATTATTATTATTATTATTATTATTATTATTATTATTTTTTTTTTGTCTCTCTCATTAGACCATAGGTCCATGAGAAGAGCAAGGGCAAGTCTGTTTGGCTTAACACCACATTCCCAGCTCCTAGCAGTGTGTCTGACATGTAGTAGATGCTTGCCGTACTGCATGAATGAATAAGTGAGTATCTTTTTATAATAAGAGAATAATAATAATATAACAGTCCTAACATTTTCCCCTTGGATGTTAAACGTAGTAGATCGTTTTCTTGAATTGAAGGCGTTCAATAGACGGTGCTACCACTGTATGGTTTTATACTTTCACGTGATTCTGCATATCCTGGTGTTTGCTATTCAGAGGGAGGCGACTGCTTATGCTTATTTTGTGGTTCCTGACACTTGGTTAACAATTTAATTTTAAATCACTACTGAGACTTGCCTCAAATGGAAAAAAACTTATCTAGGTTGTTTAAAATGTATGAGCCCCACTGTACTGTATAGAACAGCAAAAATAATTTTCTTCTTTGGTAGTGAAAAAAAATATTTTCTCTACATGTGTTATTTTTGCTCCCCACAAAGTGCTAAGTTACAGATGCAATATTATCTCTGTAATAAAAAGATCTTGATTGAATAGTAGGTAAGTCTGTAGCAGTCATATTAAAATGTACTTTTCCAGAGTATGCTCTGTTTCAGAGGTAACAGGGATGCAAGTGAGAAATGACATGATGGATTTGACTGCCTCTGCTTCTTACTGGATGATTCGACAGAACTCAAGCATGTCTTCCGCTGCTAGCAGGTTTCTGTAGAACCATGTGAGAGCCGCATGGGGCGTCCCTGCCTCCTCGCTCCGCTGGGATGGGTGGTTGATTTTCTCTAGATGCCTTTTCTAGGCGCAATGGCTAAGTACACAAGGATAATTTCTTACTGTTTTCTTCTTAATTAAAAAAAAAATCATTGACTGTAACATATGACAACCTTTTCATAATTGCACTTCTGCTAATTTGAAAACGCTGTTACAAAGTGTGTGTTGTTGGACTCTGTCACAGTTTGCTAGGAGTCTTAACTAAAAACTCAGGCTGGGAACCTACCCCAGGTTTGAAGATGATGGTTTCACTGGGCAGTGGTGTGGGACACAGAAAACAATTCAGCCCCACACCCTTCAGGAAGATGAGGTCGGTTCTTAGTCCGAGTCAGTATGTGGGAAACACCTGTACAAAATCGCGTGTCTGACTCTGTGTGGGATGCACACAGATAAAGCAAACACTAGCTCTAGCGAGAAACAAGTATACGTGGAATAATTAGATCCAGTGATTTATGCACAGGGCTGTTCTGTGCATCCATACACTCTGTGTTTGGGGGCCTCACGGTGACACCATGACGTAGGTGGGGGTGTGTGTGACTGCTATTGTTACACCTAATTTACTGATGGGAAAACTGAGCTTGGGGTGAGTTAGGTTGCGTGTGTTCAAGGGGAACAGGCGGGGAGTGGCAGAACTGGGGCCTGCAGCTGTGTGTTCGACTCCGGGATTCAAAGGAAGAAGAGCTGTTTCTGGGTCCCGGGGACGCTGGCCTCCGTGCCATGGATACACAGCCCTCACAGTTTGGGAAGAGACCCTGACTTCAGAAGCTGACTGGGGAGCTCCCACTTAGAACTGTGGCTCCTTCCTCTCTCTTGCTCCATGTCTTCTATCCTCCTTTTGGCGTTTCTGCAGTTCTGGCCTTACCACTGGCCCCCACCTGTCTTTCCACTCCCAGCTTTTCTCTTGATCCAGCTTCCAGTGTGTGTCGCCATTCTCTTTCTTCCCTTCACTGTGAGAGCATTTCCTGATTCTCCTTTGTAAGTGCCATTCGCTCCTCAACCCCACACTGCTTCTCAGTGGGATCACTGGTGCTGTCTGAGGTTCCTGTTTTTCAGCCCTTACTCTCATCAATCTCCATACAGTCTGTATCTGGGGACTGGCTGCCATTTCCCGAATGTCTCCTCAGGTGGCTTCTGGGCACCTTCTCTGTTGGCTCCATGCCTGTTGCTGTTCGACCTCCAGTGCTCTTCCTCCTCTTCTGCCCCTAAAATATTGAAGCGCCCAGAGTTTGGCATGGTCGTTGGAGGCGTGAGCCCTCAGTTACCCATGCGCCATCTCTGCATGTCCAGCAGCCACCCATACCCCCAGAGACATGACCACCCCCAGGGTCTCCAGGTCCTGCCCTCTCCCAAGGTCCCAGTCTCTAGATCGTATCCCACCGTGCCCAACATGGAGCAGAAACTCTTCCCATCTACTATGGAGTCATTCTCCAGTTTCCCGAAATAGAAGCTTTGGTGTCTTCTTTATGTGGGGTCATCAGGAAACCTTGATGCTTTTATCTCAGAATTATTTATCATGGCCTGCTAATTAGCCTCCCTTCCAGTCTTGCCATGCTCCAGAATGTCTTCCATTCCGCTTCTAGAGTTGCCTCCCTCGCTGTTTAGTCTGATTATATCACTCTCCTTACTCTAGGGTGCTGACTCCCCATCTGTCTTCCCCACAGGGCTAGGGCCAGTTCCACTGATGGCCACCAGTAGCTGTGCCCTCCATGCTCGAAAGTGTGTGTCGAATGAATGAATCTGGTTCCAGTCTTGCTTCTCAACTTTATGTCCCTGTGACCGGGCCCTGTGCTTTCGTGCCCCCAGCCCCTCACCATTTCTCAAGCATGCCCAGTTCTTTACTATGTCCTGCTTTGTCATTTTTAGATTTTTTTCTTCCATGTTCCTTCTTTCTTTTTTTTTTTTTTTTAATATTTTATTTATTTATTTGACAGAGAGAGACACAGCGAGAGCAGGAACACAAGCAGGGGGAGTGGGAGAGGGAGAAGCAGGCCTCCTGCTGAGCAGGGAGCCCGATGTGGGGCTCGATCCCAGGACCCTGGGATCATGACCTGAGCCGAAGGCAGACGCTTAACAACTGAGCCACCCAGGTGCCCCCCATGTTCCTTATTTCAACTCACACCTTATAACTTTTCCGTTCTGATGAAAAGGTCCTTTTGTCTTTTTTCTGCCTTGTCTTTGTTGAAGTCAGTCACCTCTCATTACGTTTCTTCCTTTTCTTGTCCTCATCCATTTCTGGTTTAATTTTTGTATTTCTGATTCTGGGTGTTTTTTCAGTTCTCCAAATGCTTCTGTGAGGATATTTAAGTCAGTTTGGAGTGTCGTTTCAGGTTCCTCCTGCTTTGGGCGGGGAGAGTTTTCAGCAGCTCTTTGGTAGGGTTCTGATGTTTCTCGCTTCCCAAGCATTTCAGTGGTGCTCTTGCTGGCTCAGGAGCTCACATCTGTCAGGTGCCGTTTCTCTAATGTGTGCTGGTGGTGGTGGATGGCGAGGCTCTGGTGTGTCGTAGGCACCTTACTTTCTCTCTCTTCCTTCTGTGCTGCAGCACCGCTCCCTCACTTTCCTTCTCTCCAGAAGCAACACTTCTCTCTCGCCTTCAAGCCCTTCCGCTCCGTGGAGCTGGGGCTGAGAGCTATCAGGCCTCAGGCCATGTGTGCTCCGTGGACACTTGGCGCACGACTTTCCCTCTTCGGGGGTGATTTGGAGTCCCCTCCGTGCCCCTGTTCTCCTTGCACACGTGCCTCTCTTCACACTCACTGGTGTGTAGCAGCAGAAGCAGCTCTTCTAGAAATTCGTTTCTTCCGACACTGACGGGTAATTTGAAGTTTGCGGTATTCTGTGCCCCTAATCGTGACAAATGCCTTGGGGCCTGTGAAGATATTTGCCATCTTGTAGATTTTGTCGTCTTTTGGGAAGGATGTGTAGAGAGATTTGGACCCATGCAGCCGCCGTGGTCCTCCAAAGTGGAAAGCTCCCATGGGGAAAGTTACATTTCTCCTGCTTTTAGGTGAGAAACCCAAGACTCAGAAAAGCTAAGGAATTTGGCCAAGATGGCACAGACACCAAAAACCGGGATATGAGGAAAATTTCTTCTTTTGCTTATATCAGAGAAAGTCTAATCTGCTTTTATGAAGCTTATTTATGGTTTAGCAGAGGGGCAATGTAAATTTTCTTTTTTTCTTTAAAGATTTTATTTATTTATTTATTTGTCAGAGAGAGAGAGAGAGGGCGCATATAAGCAGGGGAAGTGGCAGGCAGAGGGAGAGAGAGAAGCAGACTCCCCGCTGAGCAGGGAGCCCGACGAAGGGCTCGATCCCAGGACCCTGGGATCATGACCTGAGCTGAAGGCAGATGCTTAACCAACTGAGCCACCCAGGCGTCCCTAAATTTTCTTGAAAATTTTTAAAAATACTGCAGGGAAGTAAAGGTGTTCTGAAAATGTTTGATGTTTCCTTTTAAAGAAATTTCAGGTTTGGGGGTACCTGGGTGGTGCAGTCAGTTCAGTGTCTGACTCTTTTTTTTTTTTTTTAAAGATTTTATTTATTTATTTTGACAGAGAGAGAGAGACAGCGAGAGAGGGAACACAAGCAGAGGGAGTGGGAGAGGGAGAAGCAGGCTTCCCGCGGAGCAGGGAGCCCGATGCGGGGCTCGATCCCAGGACCCTGGGATCATGACCCGAGCCAAAGGCAGATGTTTAATGATTGAGCCACCCAGGTGCCCCCAGTGTCTGACTCTTGATTTCGGCTCAGGTCATGAGATTGAGCCCCATATTGGGCTCCATGCTCAGTGTGGAGTCTACTTGTCCCTGTCTCTCTGCTCCTCCCCCACACCCAAATACATAAATAAAATCCTTTTTTTTTTTTTTTTTTTTCAAATACATGATTCTTCCCTTAAAAAGAAAAGAAATTTCAGGTTTGGTTGTGTGGGTGTGATGGTACTACATAAGTATGTACAGACTGAAAGTTTGTGTGGCTTTATCTTTTTATAATGAAATGGAATTTTTTCTGTGATTTTCTCTTGATGCATATTGTTGAAGATCAAGAAGAATGTAATCCAATTTGTAACCTTAACATTGGTTGTTTTAAGGTTAGAAAAGCACAGCCGCTGGTGGAGAGTGGTTCTATTTCATTACGGAAGGATCAGTAAATATCACTCTCCATGCATACAACAGTGTCAGGTTCCTTTTACTGTGATGGAGACATTTGTATCAAGTGTTCAGTCTTATTATTTGTCTTGAGCATTTTGGTTTGGGGATTTGAGGACTAAGAGTGTCAGATATTTTAGAGGGAGAGATGAGAGTTCTCTGCTTTGTTTCATTTTCTGTCTATACAATTAACATCTACTCATGCTGATATTTTGAAAAAAAATACAAGGAAAGAAAATAATCTGAAATCTCATTATCTAGAATCAACTATTATTGATTTTCTGGTATTGTTTGCTCTTCTGGTGTTTTTTGTTTTCTGGGTTTTTTTCCTATTGTATATTATGCATCCTAGTTTGTAACCTACTTTTTTGGTGTACCAGTGAAATGTGAACATTTTTTCCAGTAAATCATCTATGGCATGATTTTTATTGCTATACATTTGTTCCTTTACATAGATGTGCCATACTTTACCTAATCAGTCTGCTATTATTGATTTAGGTTGCTTGAGGTCATTTTTGCTATTATGGGATTACAGTGAATATTTTTACAAATATATCTTTGTGTACACTTCAATATGTAAGGAGTAACTGACTCTCTTTTTTAAGATTGCCATTTTTCTGCTTGGAGAAATAGAATAAAATGTACAGACTCCTTTTATATCTATTTGCTTTCCTTCAACTTTTCATCTTTGTTTTGTGTTTAAGTAACTCCCTATAGGCTCATTCCTTCGCCCCTCAGTTTTTCTCCCTAGAGTTCGCTTTTGCATCAAATTATTCTATTTTCTATAGCTTTGGGTGCCATCTATATGCCGTTCATACCCAGACACTGACCTTTTAGTCAATTTACAAGTAAATCTCCAGCTGCTATTATAAAATCTGTAACAAGGTGTTTGATTCATAATCTCATAGCCGGACTCTCCCAGCAGGAGAGAGTTCTGAGCTGCAGAGCCAAGTTATCTAACTGCCTGCTGGACATCTTGCCTGAGGTCACCAACAGACATTTCAAACTTCAAGTGTAAAAAAATAATCATAGCCACTAACAATTTTTTTTTGAGATTACTGTGTACCGGGAATCATGCCATGTGTTTTAAATGCATATGCTCTTTCTGTCATAGCCACATAGGTTTACCATATTTCCCATTTTACAGATGATGAAAACAGACCATAGAAGGTTACACAGAAGCTAGTAAATCTTCCTGTGCTCTTTTTTTTTTTTTTTAAGATTTTATTTATTTGACCGAGAGAGACACAGTGAGAGAGGGAACACAAAAGGAGGAGTGGGAGAGGGAGAAGCAGACTCCCTGCCAAGCAGGGAGCCTGATGCGGGGCTCGATCCCAGGACCCTGGGATCATGACCTGAGCCGAAGGCAGACGCTTAATGACTGAGCCACCCAGGCGCCCCTCTTCCTGTGCTCTTTACAGATAAGCTGTGTGGTTTGCAAAATGGAATTCTTTTTTTTTTTTTTTAAGATTTTATTTATTTATTTGACAGAGAGAGAGTTAGTGAAAGCAGGAACACAAACAGGGGGAGTGGGAGAGGGAGAAGCAGGTTTCCTGCTGAGCAGAAAGCCCGACGCGGGGCTCGATCCCAGGACCCTGGAAACATGACCTGAGCCAAAGGCAGACGCTTAACGACTGAGCTACCCAGGCGCCCCGCAAAATGGAATTCTTGATGCTTCACCCTATAGTGTCTTCCCAAAGTATTTCTTGTCTTGGTAAATGGTGAGCTATCTACCCAGGAGCTCATGCCAGGAAATTGGGAGACATCCTTGGTACCTTTTTCTCCCTCATTTATCAATATCTCCTGTTGATCCTATTTTCCAAATATGTCTTGAATCATGCCACTGTTTTGCACACCTACTGTGCACCGCCCCCCAACCAGGTCATGCGGTCATCCTTCCTCCACAACTCCTGACCCTGCTTCTGTCCCTGCCCCTCAGGACGAGTCCTCACACACAGAGTGGTCTTTATGTATTCAAATCTAATCCTTCACTGCCCTGGTCACAGCCTTCCATTCTCGTTCCAGCCTCACTCTCACTTCCCTTGATGAGGCCACACTTCCTCTTCCTCAGGGCGCTGGCACCTCCTCTGCCTTCTGCCTGAAATGCTCCTCAGCTCTGTTCTTCACCTGAACAACTCCTGCTCCTGCTTCCGGTTTCATTTTAAATGTCACTTGTGCAGAGCAGAAGCCTCCTCAGATCCTGAATGAGGATTCCTCTTTCTGTTCTCAGACGCCAGCCGTTCACCCTCACAGCACTGAACAGTGTATAGACTCCTCATCTTAGATTCGGACTCATTTATAATATAACCTTAGACTCTATTGGATTATTTATCTGATAACTGCCCTTTCTGCTCCCCTCACCTGTCAATGCCATGAGAAGGTTGTGTCTGTGTCTGTTTTTACCCTTGAACCTTAACCCTAAGCACAATCCTTGGCACATAGTAGATGTCCACCAAATATTTGAATAAAAAAGGCATGAACACATTGAGTTCTGGCTTCACCTGGAAGTGAAATGAGCTGGGATGTCTCTTTCCCCTGTCCAGGGGTGTGGGTGTGTAGTTGATTTTCTCTGTTTGTCTGGCAGGAGCCAAAGGACTGCAAGCATGGGACCCACCTTTAGGCAAACAAGGGAGTGGTGGGCTCAGGGAGTGAAAGATGCCACATAATGGAAGAATAAGACTCAAAGGAGGGAAGAAAGGACCACGGCTCGCTTTTGTCCCGGTGGGAGAGCCCATTGTGATCCCTAAGAGGGTTTGAAGGATTGAATTAGTCCCACTTCTTAAAGTTTTTATTTGGTAAGTCATCTACTCTGTCAATATTGTGAAGTTAAACTTAGCGACAGTTACTATGAGTTTTTTTTTTTCTCTCCTTCCTGACCCTCTCAACTAGAGGAATATCTGCGTTTAATTTTCGATGGCATAAAATTTCATTAACTGTGAGTGTGCCATTTCTGCTTACAAGGGCTTTCCTTGGAGCAGAAAGCGATTATAAGGGGCCCTTCATGCTTGATTACTGCAGAGGAGGCGGAATTCAGCAAGAGCCTCGCAGAGCCCATAATATGTCATTCTGGCCATCTGTCCTCCAAGGCACCTACGTGGGGCTCTTTTAAGGCTCAGAGTCATTTCGGTTTTGAAGGCACTTGTTCTTTCTGATCACGCACCCTTCCTGCCTAAAGCAGTGAAGTCACAGAACAACTGTGTTGATTTAAATTCTAAATTCCTGTAACAGTGACAATACCTTTCCTAGGCGCTGGCACCAAGTGGAGCCAGTTTCCATATCCCTGCTCTCCTGCATTTTCTTCCTCGAACTACAAGTTACGGCGGCAGCAAGCATCCTGTGCACGTGCTTGCCATGATGTAGTTCCCACCTTTTGAAATGCCGGACTCCGAGCAGAAAGTAATGTGCTTTCTCATATCCCCACGCTTGTGTGTTTCTCCTTTGGATTCTTAAGAATATCTGAGGCTGAAGAGTGGTGTTCTATTGGAACTCCACTTGGCCTCATGAGCTACTACACCAAAACCGCCCCCTGGGCCCTTGAAGAGTGCAAGGGATTAGCAGAGATTGGTAAACTCTGTAAAAGGCCAGGTTGTAAATATTTGGGGGTTCCTGAGCCATATGGTCTGTCACTAACTACTCAACTCTGCTGTTGTGTGTGCAAACAGCCATAGACAGCACAGGAATACATGGGCGTGGCTGTGGTCAAGTAAAACTTTTATAACAAAATAAGCAGAGGGCAAGATTTGGCTCACGGGCCACAGGGTGCCAGTGTAATTAACATAATTGCCCAAACCAAAGCATTGTAAACAGGGAAGATGATTTGGATGAAACAAAAAAATGGCAGACTTTTGTTCTCATATGGTCAATGGTTTTTGTTAAGCAAATAGGACTGAGTTAGATGCCCTCTATGTCACAGATAACAACATTGGTTCTTGAGGCCATTTGAATAGAACCAAATTTAGATATGCAGAAGGGCATAAATCCTATCCCATTCTTTATAATTAATGTTAATACTTCTAGACTGTCTTGGGTCAGCATAAATTAGACGTCTGCTATTCCTTCCTTCCTGGCGTGATGAGATCATGGCACAACTCCGTCTTAGAATAGTTTTGGATCTTCTGCTAAAATAATTTGACCTCTTGGTAAGCAGTACATTAGGGATCACCACATGTAATAATGGCCCCTGGTGTGACTAGACCATTAGTTTCTGCAACCCTGAACATTTCTGAGAGAGTGGACTGTGGACAGAATCTATAGAAGGTGGCAGATATTGGCGAACACTCAGGCCACTGTACAAGAGAAGTTGTTACTGTTACTGTTGAGTTTCAGGAAATGCTTTTGGAAGACAAGTAGAAGTGGATGACAAATTGAGTTGGTTGGTTTTGTTTTTTGTTTTGTGCTTTGGTGAAGAAACTTCTTCCAGGAGACATGAGTTTTCAGACATTGATGATTAACTTTGATGTGGGTAAAGATTTGTTAAGAATTCAGTAGTTTAATGGAATTTTAGATCTAGTCCAACCCTTTCTGTTTCACAGTTGGGGAAAGGGAGGTTATCCCAGTAATGTCATCCTGCTTATTCTCATAGTTTGCTATATCATCTACGTGCTGTATATTCTAAAAGGATAAATTCAGAGCCAGCGAATCAAAAGTGGATATAACAGTTAGTGTGTTCTTTATGGGCATGTTGATTTTATCCATCATCATAGTGGAGGTGGGGCTGCGAGTTGCCATGTTTAGTAAATAAAAATAGGACACCAAATTAAATTTGGACTTTAGATAAACATGGAATTTTTTTTTTAGTATAAAAGTTTAGTATAGAATGCAGTATTTGAGACATACTTATACTAAAAGATTCCTTGTTTATTTGATATTCAGACTTAACTAGACAGTTCTATATTTTATTTGCACCATACTGGGGGCCATATAAACTAGGGGAAATATAAACTCAGAACCTAAGTTTAATGGTAAAGGTTTTATGAACAGGGTGATAGCTAGAATGGGAGTTTTAGCTTGAAGCCTTGATTTTTCTTGACATGACCAGTACTTTGGTTATGGTGTTGTATAATGTGTTCTACCATGACAAAGGAATAAGAAGTGGGCAGTTTCGGTCATGGTTTTGTTTAGTAATTTCATAAACAGCAGCTCAGTTGGTGTTTCTTGGGCCATCCTGAAACCCAGCAGTTGGCAGGGTTAGCCAACACTTTTTGAGGAAGTTGCGTGGAAAAAAACGGACATGATGTTTGAGGCTGCCTGAGGAGGAGTGCAGCAGGTCACTTCAGGCAGAGCAGGAAGGCCAGGCTGGAGAACGGACATGAAAGCAGCATATTTGCCTAAACCAGGTCTTCAAAGATATTCGAAGGAGTGGAATCATTCAGTACATACTCTTGCATCAGGCTTCTTTCATTAAGCATCATCCGGTTAAGCTCTAGTATTTTGACCCAGAGTTAGGTACTGTATTCAGACTGGTGCTGTATTCCTTTTTTTTTTTTTTTTTTTTTTTGTAATAATTGCTAGTTTTATTCCTCTGGCTAAGAGATCCAGGGGTAACTTGAGGTTTACATTTTTTTAATAGTTCTTCCATCAAGAGTTTAGGTGCACCCATTGCCCTTAGAAGCTGGTTGCAAATTATTTAACTCTTACTTATAAAACTTTAATTCTTTTTGTGTGTGTGACATGTGTTCATGAAAAAATACATATAAGCAAAAAGAAAAAAAGCTCATGCCACACAGAAATAAGCAGTTACGTTTCTGATATATGTTTGTATGTACACACACACACGCACACACGCACACACGAATTTGGGATTTAATCCTACATATGTGAGCTGATACTAAATATATCCCTTTGTAACCTGTTATGTTTTACTTCACAATATGTAATGAATATATTTTCATGCAAATGTGTGAAACTTTCCAATTGAAAAACAGACCTGGAGAATGGGTCAAAATACAAAATCCAGGGAGATGCTGATAACAAGGAAGCTACCTAAAACAAAATTCCACCAGATGAGTAAAGTAAACCGAAGGTCAAAGATACATCAGAAAACGCTAACAGAAAGAAAGCAGGGGCCAGATTTTAATATCAGACAAAAAAAGAATTCAAGGCCTAAAGCACACAGGATAAGGACGGCTGCGTGAATGTCTTTGCTTCCAATGCATCATCACAAACTTGTTTCTTACTCTTCTTATCTCTTCCCTCAGCCTTTCCAACTCATCTGCTCCTCTTATCATTTCTTCAGGGTCCAAATGCCTCACAGGAGTGTCCTCTTTAAACCCCTTGCCAGGCTGGGTCAGCCCTCCTCTAAGATTTCCTTCTGCTCCCTGGCTTACTCCTTCTTCGGAAGGTTGAGGACTGATATCCTTCCGCCTCCTGTGGTATATCTTCTGAAGGGCGGTCGGCCTCGGTCTTTGGCATGTTCTGTGGTTTTCCTTCATTTTCTTCACAAGACTTTTGCATGTTGAGTATTTTTCTGTTATTTCTTTTGAATAAATTAATCCTGCAGGGATCCAGGGGATTTTCCTGCCTCCTTCCCTCACTCGATTTGTGCCGCGCCCAAAAGACCAAAGAGTCCTGAAAGGAGCTGGGGCACTTTTCTCCTTCTCCAGCAATACGGAGCTGCTACAGGGAAACAGGCCCTGGACTATAAGGACTTCTGCACACGTCAACTCTTTTTTTTTTTTTTTTTTAACATTTTATTTATTTGACAGAGACACAGCGAGAGAGGGAACACAAGCAGGGGGAGTGGGAGAGGGAGAAGCAGGCTTCCCGCCGAGCAGGGAGCCCGGTGTGGGGCTCGATCCCAGGACCCTGGGATCATGACCTGAGCCGAAGGCAGACGCTTAACGACTGAGCCACCCAGGTGCCCCTGGTGCTGTATTCCTATCTCATAGCTTTAGAAAGATGATTTCCTGAATGATACCACGAGAAAAACCCAGGTCCTGGCCTCATTTTATTGTTGCTTAAGTTCATATAGGGAGATGAACTGTTTTCTTGACGTATGAAGGATACATCATTTCCTCCAGTGAGAGCAGATTCTGTTTGGAAGGTTGGTGGTGCAGGAGCTGGGGCTCCATGAAATAATTTGCCTGTAGCTAGCCAAGTCATTTGCTTATGTGAATGCTTCCCCATGCCTCAGGTCCCTTTCCTACTAATTTCCCCTAGTGTGTCTGCCTATATGTTTCTGGAGGCCTCTTGATCAAATTCCATTTGAGCTTGTGCTGATTTTTTAAGGTCAAGTACTGATAATTGTAAGATTCAGAAAGCCATTTACCTGTCTTGTTATTTTTAATGGGATTACTTAATGGTTTAGTTTTGCTAATTAAGTAGAAGAGGAGTGATCAAAATAGTGGTTAAATTACTGTACCCAGAACTTGCATTTCATTTCATTTCATTTAAAAGAAATCAGTGAGAACTCAACAGTAGAATTAGATCCAAAGGTGGTTTTCTTCTGTAGGGAATTTTCTTTGAATTCTTTAACTCAATTATCTCTATTTTAGGTTACAGAAGGACAACACAGACCAAAGAAGTAAAAGCAGAATTACCCTTACTTGTCACTATTAGGGGATATATGTGTAAGAGTTTATCTAAGGAAAGGCTCATAAGTAGAGCCTTTGTGAACCCAAGGATGAACTAATTTATAGGAGCCTCTGGCTCCTTTGTCAGTATATATAAGTATATATACTGACGTATATATAAGTATATATACTTATATATACTGACGTAGCTGAATTACTTGTAGTTTCTTTAACTGGTTGAAAAGAAGAGAGTCTGAAAGGTCAGATTAACTTTGACTTTATTC